ATAACCTTATAAAGTAGATACTAATTTTATCCTCATTTCATAAATGAGGAAACTGAGTCCACAGAGAGATTTAGTGACTTTGTTAAGGTCATGAAGCTAGTAAGTGACCAATTCAGGATTTTTTCTAGCATTGATACAATTTAAATCAATATCACTGGTGTTTAGGTTTTGCACTAGGGGAGCACGTACACTATCTCAAAGGGACTTTCCTTCGATTTTGTTTTGGGGCAACTCTGATTCTGAATAGGGCAATTGGGAGGATTTTTTTTTTACCCAATTTCATTTAATTACCTGCCATAATTTAGCTATATGAGTCCTTAAAGTTTTATTCATCCTTTCTACTTTACCACTAGATTGGGGTCTCCAAGCAGCATAAAAGTTTCACTCAATATGCAAATATTGAGACACCAGCTGGGTTATTATGCCAGTGAAGTGGGTTCTATTGTTGACCCCAGTTGCATCAGCCATCTGCACTGATGTTCTGTGAGGGAGGATCTGTGCTTCCAAGGTAAATTATTTTTAAAAAAATCAGTAAGGCTGATGATTGCACAGCCCACCTTCTGCTGTCCATTCTCCATGAAGCTACTCCCATCTATGAAACAAGTGAGATCTGATTTGCACAGTGGCTGATCAGAAAGGTCTGGCCTGTTGGTATACAACCAGGTTGAGGATCCTGACACAATCACAATGAATGGGGTTGCTTGGGGCAAAGTGGGCAACAGAGTAGCCAGGTTTATGCTAGTTGCTGGCTAGATGTGCACACTTGGCTTGTCTAGGACTGTCAGGACTGAATGGGCAGTATAAACTCAAATGGTCTGTCCTAAGGTTAGCCATCGGGAGCTCTGGTAGCATAGTGGCTAAGACACTTGCCTGCTAACCAGACGGCTGGCGATTCAAACCCACCAGCCACTCCTCGGAAGGAAGGTTGGGCAATCCTACTTCAGTAGTGATACTGCCTCAGAAACCCAAAGAGGGGTCGCTATGAGTCGGGTTTGACTCAACGGCACATAACAACAACAACAACAACAAGGTTAGCCATCACCTCCAAGCAGGCAGGCCAGCCCTGTGTCACTGGATCTAAAGTTTTGGAAAGGAATGTCACTGGTTTCCAAAATCTCAGGAACTGGCTAAGAACTTCAGCTGTTATGCCTTGATGCTCAAGCACAAACAAATCAAAACACTTATGTAAATCTGGCAGTGCTAAGGTTGGGGCCTCCAGTAAGACTTGCTTTAATTTATCAAAGGTCTGTCTTTGTAATTTTCCCCACAAAAGGGGTCAGTCTCTTTTTCCCTCCAGGAAGGAGTACAATGGTTTTGTTACAAGTCCCAAATCTAGGTACTCAAATCTGAAAAAATCCTGCCATGCCCAGGAACCCTTTAAGCTGCTTGCCCTTTAAGCTGTTTACATGTCTGTGATTGGGCTAGCTGACAAATGGCTTGCTTTCTCTGCAGTTGCAATTTCCTTTGTCCTTTGCTGATAATAAACCTCAAATATGTCACTTTCTTTTGGACTGTCTGGACTTTAGTCTTAAAGACTCTATAGCGCTTCACTAAATACGCAGTGTTCACCATCATACTTCCTTCATTTGTCTGAATTTTCTTCCTAATGTCAGGAGTACTCTGTCTAATAAGCATAGTATTATCTGGGGTTTCAGGATCCAAATGTGTTTACTGTTTGAAGTCTTTGGAAATTCTCTGTAAAATGGTAGAGGGATCCTCATCCTTTTGCCTAATCTTATATATCTTATTCAGACTCTTCAGTTTGGGAGATCCATCTCTAATTCTTATTAAAATACAGTCTCTGTAATTTAAAAGCTTTGCATAATCGTCTCTGTCATTTGGGTCTTAGCAAGGGTCCCATAGTAGCATGTCATCATCCAAAGTACCTGCACTTACTGTGGTTGGGCATCTCTGCCCCTCTGTGCTTCCTCTCAGGCACAGCTCATCATCAATCTCTGTCCCTCCAGAGTTAACAAGTAATCAGGAGTGACTGACAATCAGCTCACATTGGATCAAACGAGTTAAAATAAAAGTCAGTAGTTCATACATTTTGCCTGGATCCTCCCAGTACCCTGGAGTATAATTCTTCAAATTGTGTAAGTCCACTGTGCTAACAGGCTCATGTACCCTAACCATCTCTCCCTCTGAGGGGATCTGAAGAAGTGGATATTGGCCCCTAGCCACATCCCCATGGCCTGGCTCAGTCTTCAGCCCTTTCTGGATCAAATCAGGTCCCTGATAGGGCATCTCCTGCTGGGTGCGGGAAAGAGAAATTAGGCAGCCTCTTGCAGGTTCACTTCTCGCCTGTGGCTCCCACTTAAAAGCAGAGTCTGGTTCTGATGGATATAGAGGAGAGGGAGCTAAGAAACTTAAGGGGTCATAAGGATCCTCTCCTCCAGTTAATACCAGGGAAGGAGCTGAAGGCTGCTTCCCCTTAGGAATGGTTTGAACATAAATCTCACAAGCTTGTTGAGTTTCTTTATCATTGTACCTTTGAGCATAAAGGTCTCTATATACATTTTCTTGCTTTATTTGATAATGCAGGAACAAAACAAATCCAATTGCAAAATAGTATTACAATTTACTGACCCTTAACGCAGCCAGTATTTTTGGTCTCCTAATTCATATTGTGGTCACACAACTCTGCTTAAAAAGACCAACCTTTTCTTTTTCATGAGATCATAACCAAATTTGTTTTGATGTTTTAAAACACATTCTACAGAAGCGCACTCTGGTATACTCTAGCTGTTAACCATCCCAAAACCAGTTACAAAAGAAACAGAATCAGAAAATCAGAACAGAAAAGCCAGCAAACAGACATGTTAGTTTAATGATCTTAACACTTATAGCAATGAATATTGTTTTCACTTAAACCCGATTACAAACTCAAACCTCTGATCAAAACATTGCCTCTCAAGGATATATCATTAGGTCGAGGCCAAGTCAGACACATCACAGGTCAAAGACTCTCCGGAGAAATCTCCGGGGG